CAATCCCCTCCATCTTCCCTAAACTGTCAACAACTTCCCCACATCATGGCACTGCCAGCCTCCCATTGCAGTGAACACTGTGCAGTTAGGGTTAGCTTTCCGCCACATGTAGACTTTTGCATGTCATTTACAAACTTAAAGGGGAACGCCATTTTTTTTACATTGGGCCCTTGATTTTACATTATTAAATAAATATAAAAAACATACCCGCGGATGTCTCGGGGAAAGTGATTCGCCTACATGTTATGAATGCTGGCGTACCATAAATGATAAATTATGAACAGTTTAGTTTGTGCCTTCAAGTCGTTGCCCATAGGAGGAAGTTACGGAATATCTTCAGAACGGCTCCAAATGACACAAAACTCATATGGGTGAGCACAACATGATGTAATAACGAAAAAGCAAGGGCCCAATGTAAAAAAAAAAAATGGCATTCCCCTTTAAGTTTTGGTCTCAATGTAACCAGAGCACCCTTTTTCTTGTTTGTTGTGGATTATAGCTGATTCCTAACTGGGTATTCTATTGTTAAAAGTCAGTAACCTTTAGCTATTTTTCTATAAACTGCAGAGCAGAATTAAAGAAATAGTTGTCATCTCAGCCAATTTTCTTAACTTAGCTGTAGTTTTGTGGAGATCCTCCATGGTTACCTGGATGGATGTCTTCCTAGCCAATTTAGATGGTTTTGTCATGACTTTAGGGGAGGTTGCTTGTGAAATGCTTGTTTAATAAAGATTTAATATTCTTCATGAGCTCATCCCTTTGCTGTTTTGTGTATTCACTAATATTCTTCAACAAACCTTTAAAACTTCCTCAGAACAGCTGGATTTACAATAGGATTAAATATGAGACAGATGTTTTGCTGTGACTTCTTAGGAAGGATGGTTTGCACTGGATTTCAATCACTGCTTTAGAGTAAAGTGGCCTGAATTCACCATCAAACAGGCTCAAATAAGAGGCAACTGAAGACATTTCAGCACCTATTCCCTTGAGCAACCTGTAGTTGGATGTTTTTAATCACCACGGAGTTCCGTCCTCCTAAGCACATCTCAAGTCCTGTGCAAATTCAAAGACTCACCTGTTGCTCTCCTGGGCTTTATGTTTGGTGATTTGAACCACGATGCGTATTTCCTCACACATGAATAAACTGTAGATCCTTGGAAGCTGAAATAACAATCATCACCCTAAGTTCAGTGATGGGGTTTCTTTTTTAACAAAGATGGTTTCCTTCAGCCCTCTTTCGAACCATCTGTGCTATCTGTCCAAAATTAGGACATTTTTGTCCTCAAAGGTGCGTCTTTTGTTTTTAAAATCCAACTATACAGCAGATTCCTGCCTAGAGCTGCTGGCTTTCCTGTGCTGTGCCATGCGTTCATGTAGTTCTTTAATTTTTCCAATTCAGGAGTCCAAACAGTCCTTACTGGACTGCAGATAAACATTTAAGTCCACTCAGCTTTGGTCTGGGTGTTCTGTCCGGAGGAACCAGGTTTTATCTGAGTCTGTTGTTTGAAATTCACTGTTATGTTAGGTTTCTCAAAAACTCCTCAAACAATGTTTTTGCTTTTCCTTGTTCCTCTGTGTTAGTAATTCTTCCTGCATGCAAAGGCCAGTTTGGAAAACCACATCCTTCGAGTGTTTTCCCGACATGTTGGTTTTGTTTTCCCATCTCCTCTGCAACTGATGTAAATATTGTCAGCTCTTTAACTCAGAGTTCTGATAACAGTTTGTGTTCCAGTGGATGATGGGGGTCAAAACGCAGAATCTTCATGGAGCATTTTAAACCATCTGTGTTTCCTCACAGTTCACAGTTCTGTTTTGCTTTGTGTTGGTCATTCATATGAAATGGACTGAAGGTGCATTTGTTTGCAATGTGACTGCATATTAACATAATCAAGGAACATAAAGACATCTGTTCTGCACTATAGATCAAGAATTTTTGTTATAATTTTATTGTTAGGAAGTTTTTCTCCTTTTTTGCGACATAAAATTTCATGTCGAAGTAAAAAAAGTAATTAAGTGAGTTAAAAACATGGAACAAGCTGTTTGCAGCATCTTATTAAAATGTGGAGCTCTGTTCGTATTTAATTGGTTACTGTATATATTTGGTTTTTGGACCAGAATTTGGCTCCTGTTTGAAG